GGCTCTACCCAAGCTCTCTTATTTGTGGTTTGCACAAAATGCAGGACTATAGTGTGCAACATGGAATCATGCAATGCATGTGCGAAGGCATACATGTGTGTTCATACATATCCATTCACACCGAAGTGACTTTCTGGAGTTGGCAAGCTGCCAAGCCGGATGAATTGAGTTCAGTCTCCTGAGTTGGGTGGGACTCTGAGACCCACATGGTGGGATGAGTGAGCTGACTCCTGAAAGTCGTTCTCTGACCTCCACATGTGAGCCCACAAACATACGAAAGTAAATAAATAAATGCAAAACAAGTTTTTTTTTTTAATAACTGACTTCTATCCATCTTAGGCTCACAGGATTAAAACTTGCCCCTAACCCATCCCCCACACATCCTGTCCCACTTCTTGTCTCCCTTAAGTAGGTGAGCAGGTTCTCGCCTCCCTTGATGTGTCTGGAGTGTCAGCATCACACAGTGGAAACATTCACGGATTTGAGTGTCAGCAGACAAGGGTTCAAATCTCATGACTGACTCACGAGCTGAGTTGTGTGATTTAGCCCAATCCCTGTAAAGTGGGGGTAGTTAGAGCCACCTTGTGGTAATGTTGAGCAGACACAGGTCACATACCCTGCATCTAGCATATGACAAGTGTTCAGAAATAGAAATAGTGACTACTGGTTGGTGGTGTCATGGTCGTCACTGCAGAGCTGCCTGAACTTCAGAGAAGGTGACATCACCCATATGGGGAAGTCAGGGTTCATGGCTCTCTGAATTTACCCATTATACAGCCGGTGGTAGAGGGCAAAGTTCAGGCCTGTAGACTGGCCAGGTCCCAGCTCCCTGACCCCTAGTTAGTGTTCTGCCCCTAATATTACCCTTCCCCAATACTTCAGTGGCCCTCACTCCAAGGGGGCCTTCTTTCTTCCCTCTCCTTCATTTTATTTTATTATTTGGACTTTTGGAAGAGAAGATGTCTTGGAAATAGGATCTTCCTTAGCCCAGGCTGGTCTCCTGAAGTCAAGAATGACCTTGAACTCCTGAGTCCCCAGCCTCTACCTCCCAAGTGCTTAGATGATATGTGCCACCACACTCAGCTTTTTCTTTCTTACATATTAATTGTATAAAATATTTGGTCTTGCTGGGTGGCAGTGGCACATGCCTTTAATCTTAGCACTTGGGAGGCAGAGGCAGGCAGATCTCTGTGAGTTCCAGCCAGCAGCCTGGTCTATAGAGTGAGTTCCAGGATATCCTGAGCTACACAAAGAAACCCTGTCTCAAAAAAAGATCAGTTTTGTCTTGATTCTAAAGCAAAAATAATGATGTTCCTCATTGGCTTAAAAAGGAGGAGTGAATCTGGGTGAGAGGCGAGGTGAGGGAGGGGTGGAGATGGGAGGGGCAGAGGGGGGGGGAACTACTGTAGGGATGTAATATATAAGGGAACAATAATTTTAAAAATCTGAAGAAAAAAAAAAAAACAAAAGCAAAAACCCCAAACCTCACCAGGCACCTCACCCCTTCTTGTCTACATATTTTTTCCTGGAAGCCCTACATTGTTTCAGGACTCCTTTATTCCATATTTCCCAGATGCTGTTTGCCCTGCTTGGGGTGCCTGCACTTCCTCACCAGACTGATGGCTGCCAGGTCTCGATGCCAAGGTCACATTCTCCTGGTGGCCTTCCCTGATGGCCTGGACTGGGCGTCACAGTGCTCCACTGTGACTGTCAACCTGAATTTCCTAATGACTATGAGGTCTGTGAGGAAGATATGCTATCTTCTTGGCAGTTGCCATTTCAACAACATTATCCTTGACACAGTGCTCGGCGAGGGCTTTAGACCTGAGTGGCCTCTTCCTCAAGGCGACAAGTAGTATCTCCTAATGTGGTGGTTTCCACATCTGTCTAGAAATATCTATGACATCTTCAGGGGTGAGCCCCATCCCCACCTCAGTCCTTCTAAGATCTTCCAGGAAGGAGTGAGCCTATATTTTCACGGGATTCCCTGCGGTCAAAGCTATCACATGTACAGAGGATCATGTCTCTGGTGACATGAATCCTTATGAATAGACAGCACTCACTGCCGAAATTGCTAGCTTTGTCATGTTATTTTAAAAATTAATTATTTTAATTATTACACAAAATGTGTTTTATTATGACATTTTCATAATGCATATCATTGTTCTCCACTCATATTTTCCATCCCCCACTACTCTTCATTGAACCTCCTGCTCACTTCTGCTGGTCTCTCAATGGCCTCACCTTCTTCTTTTAAAAACAGATTTGTTTTACTTTTGTGTGTACAAGTGTTTTTCCCGCAGATATATATATGTATGTGTATGTATGTATGTATGTATATGTATATGTGTATATATATGCTTGTAATATAAATACTTTTGTATGTATGAGTATTTTTCCTGAGTATATATATCTACATATCATCTATATATCTATATAGATATATATCTTTTTTCATACATATCTTTCTACATAATCTACCTACCATTTGCATGCAGTGCCCGTGGAAGTCAGAAGAGGGTATCAGACCCCTTGAAACTAGAGCTACAGATGCTTGTGAACCACCATGTGGGTGCTGGGAACAGAACCCAGGCCCTGTGTAAGAACAAATGCTCTTAACTTATGAGCTATCACTCCAGCCCCACCTTCTGCTTTAATGCCATATAAACATATAATGTGTATGTATGCAGAGTTATAATTACATTATACATGAGAAAAACAGGCAATATCTGTTCCTCTCTCCTTGTCCCATTACCCTCTCTTGTTTCTGCCCCCTTTAGACTTTTCTCCAATCACATATAATATTCCTTCTACTTTCATATCATATTATGTATATATCCATTATACCTATCTATATCTATGCATGTATGTAGATAAATACACACATTGTTTACTTATTTACTTTTTGCAGTCTTGAGCATAGTATGGAACTCTTTTGCCATTGAGCTATATCCCCAGTCTATACATATTATATATTTAGTCAGGTTTCCATGTACAATAGAAACCTTTTATATGTTATTTGTCTTTCTGAGTCCCAAAACATAATCCTCATATATATTTCACTGATATTGAGTAACTTTTCGTGGGTAAATAAAGATCCATTATCTTTATCCGCTCGCCTGTTGATGGACGTCTACTTTCCTTATCTTGGCTATTGCAAATAGCAGTGATAAATACAGATGTTCAAGTACCTCCGACCATCTATGCTGATGTGGTGGGAGGTCTTTCCTAATTGCAGCCTTCAGAGTGTGTCCTAATAAATTTTGTCCTCATAGCCAAAGGTTGTATGTCAGCCTGTCTCTCAGAGTCCCCTTGATGCCTATCTGGGGAGTTTCTCCCAGGGATGCAGGAGACCATCAGGGATGGTTCTACTCACGTAACTTAGGCAAGACACAGAAGCATTGCTGACCTTTTCCAAACAGGCTTGTTCTATTGGGATAAAGGAAAAATCACTTCTTCCCACTCTTCCAGTCAAGCAACTTCCCTTTTGGATTCAGGATTGTGGACTTCAAGCTTTGTGAACAAGACCTGAGGTTTCCATAATGGATACCAGAAGTCTGTGTGGGGGAACCATGGCTCAGAGCTGAGGCCCCTTCAAGACAGCAAAGTCTAAGCATAAATCCAAGAGTTTATCACAGATCAGTTTGTCTTTGCTCCCTGTGCAGGACAACAGAGTTTCAGTCTAAGCCCTAGACTGAGAGGCAGAAACAGTAGCATCTCAAGGCTTGAGTAGACCTGTGTAAAGATAAGGTTTCTTATTCTGTCTATCTTACAGAGCTAATACATCTTCTAGAGACCATATCAAGTGTTTTGTGTCCTGGAATCTCTGTGCACATAGTCACCCATTTTTCCTTTACCTGTTCTCAGAAGCAGCAAATAAAGGGTGTCTCAGTCAGTTATCTGTTGCTGTGAGGAAATTCCACGATCAATACAACTATTATAAGGAAGCACATAACTGGGTACTTGCTTACAGTCTCAGAGGTTTAGTCCATCACTGTCATTGCAGGGAGCACAAGTCTGCTTGAAGCAGGTCAGCAATGCTTCTGTGTCTTGCCTAAGTTACATTAGCAGTACCATCCCTGATGGTCTCCTGCATCCCTTGGAGAAACTCTCCAGCTAGAGGTGCTGGAGCAGTAGCTGAGCGCTACATCCTGATCTATTGGCAGAGTGAGAGAGAGAGAGAGAGACAGAGAGAGAGAGAGAGAGAGAGAGAGAGAGAGAGAGAGAGGCAGAGGCAGAGAGGCAGAGAGGCAGAGAGGCAAAGAAAGAGAGACAGAGACAGAGAGAAACTGAGATTCTGAGACTTTGGCTTGGTATGGGTTTTGAGGTTTCAAAAGTGACACTTTTCCTCCAACAAGGCCACACCTCTCAATCCCTCTAATCCTTTCAAATGGTGCCACTCCCTGGTGATTAAGCATTCAGATATATGAGCCTGGGGGGGGGGTGTCACTCTTTTTCAAACTACCACAAAGGGTTTGCTGTATGTTTGTACCTTCATCAGTTGTTAATGAATCTAGGAGCTCTAGGGCTTTGACAGGAGCCATACAAAACTTCAAGATCTTTGAGGGGTTAAGGAATAGGTGGTGCAAGGGATAGGTGACAGGATGGCTTACATTTTTGAGGAAGCATTTTCTTTAGTTATGTCTAGAAGGGGAAAATTTCCTCTGTCACTATGGGTAACAAGTCCATTAATCTCCTCGGGGTGGACAGGATTGGGGAAAATGTCACACTCAGGGCAGGGAGCTAAGGATGCAGGGAACTACTGGTTATCATAAATAGGCTATGGCTTCTATGTTGGATCTGAGAAGAACATTTAAGGCCATAAATAGAAATACCATGAAGGATCAAGAATTGTGGGTTGGAATATTGAAGAGGTGGGGTGCATGGTAAGTGGTACTGTAGAGTGCCTATTGGATCTTTTCTAGCCCAGCTCATCCCTAAAGCTTGATCAGTATCTGCGTTGGACTGATCCCTTTTCATCTTTCTTTTCCTTCCACCAGGCGCCTAGATGCTAACCTCATCTCCCTGGTCCCTGAGAGAAGCTTTGAGGGGCTCTCCTCCCTCCGCCACCTCTGGCTGGATGACAATGCACTCACAGAGATCCCTGTCAGAGCTCTCAACAACCTCCCTGCCCTACAGGCCATGACCTTGGCTCTCAACCGAATCCACCACATCCCTGACTACGCCTTCCAGAACCTCTCCAGTCTTGTGGTGCTGTGAGTTCTGTTCCTGTCCCCACCCCCTGCAGGGATGGGAAACTGCGTTGTTTTCTCCAGTTGGGTCTGGAGCTTTGCTCTTCTTTGCATGTTGTCAAGCCTTCTTGTTTCAGTTTCTGCTCTGTAGACAATGAAGATGACCATCCCCTGTTGACTCTATAAGATGATCTCAAAGCCAGATGACATTAAGCCCATAGAAGTATTCTGAGAGTCATTTAAGGGATTATCATTATAATCAGAAGCAGAAATATTTTTGTTCTTTTATTTTCTTACTATACAAGTATAATAACCACCCCATGCTAATTGAAACATAAATCAAGTGTTTCTTAAGTAATTCCCACCACAGTTGACAATCAAAAGATGGAGTCATATGCTTTGGCATAGGGATAGGATAAATCCATCTAAATTTGCAGGCCTAAAGAAGCAGGAAAGGCCATCACATGTAATTAGATGTCAAAGCCCCAGCAGGGTAATTACCTGGGAGATAGCATCCCTGGCAGGGATAGGGGCTGGGGTTAACTCTGTCTTCCTAGTGGGAACTTTACAGTGCAAATTAGCTTCTAGCTAATTGCTATGAATGATTGGTAAGTTCATAGTCTAATTACTAAGGGCTTGGAGGTCATGTGTAATTGCTCTGGGTTACATACTAATTGCTGCAGGAACATGTGTGTCAGTGACTCTGCTAAATAGCAGCATTGCCTCCTTCGTTTTTGGAAACCTGGTGTGGTTTTCTAGGCCGGTGAGAGTGGATGATGCTGAGTTCCACGTGAGAGATGAGGACATGGGTAGTGATTTAATTGGCTAACGTTCTGTCTTGGGAACTTAGAGAGCCAACACAAATGTTCCCAGTGGAGTCCACTCAGTCAGTGTGATCAAGTCTCTGTGACAGACAAGATGACTGGAAAATGAGAACTTTAGGATGGGTCTCTGCTACATGGGCAACTTACAGAGCTTCTGTGTGTGTATGCTGAAGGTCACAGAAGGATGAGGCTGGCCCAGAGGGCTTACAATCTACATTCCTCTGTGAGGAAAGACAACCAAGGCAGTTATGACTTTTGTTGCTATAGCTAAGTGGTGAAGTCAGATCCGTTGCACAGGAGCAGCGGGGAGGCCACACATCTGTGGGTGGGAAAAAGAAGGCTTCTGGGGGAGACAAGACTGCAGCTGGACATGGAGAGACCGTGGGACTGGACAAGCAAAGGGGACTAGAGCATTAAAGACATGGTGGAGGAGACAGAATGTTTGGCCATTGGTGAGTGGGGCCATCCAGCTGTAGCAGAGAGTCCTTGTGCGGAATATGGGAGAAAAGGCTCAGGAGGTGACTTTGGGGACAGACCATGTCAGAGCAAAGACTTTGGCTTTATTGGCCAGTTGTAGAGGGAAGCTTGCAGGTTTTCAAGCAAATGTTAAAAGGAGATATTTTAGGGTGGTTAGAGTGAGGGATGGATGGAGACACAGGGAGACCAGAGAGTTCTAATGTGCTCGTGTATCAAACATCAGCTTCAGAGGCAGCAGAAAGAATGGGTGGGAGTGTGCTACTGGAAGGGCATTGTGAAGGAAGAATTGATCTACCTCTGAGGTTTTTCATGGAGCAGAGGACCAAGCAGAAAAGGTGTCACAGAACTTCAAGGCTTGGCTGGAAGTTAGGAAGCTGGCATGAGATTCAGGCCCAATATAGATCTAGAAGATGCGAGGGCCCACTGGGTATATATAAGAAGGGACAATTAAAGGAGAAAAGCTTGTGCAGAGGAGCAAAGCTGAAACACACCAGGTCCCTTGGCACAGGGGGAGGCTCGAAGCTCACTTCTCTGTCTCCCATTAGTGTGTGAAAGAGGCTTTTGAGGAGGAGGGATAATGAAGGCAAAGAAGACTGGAGGATGCTGTCCCTGGACTTTGAGATGTGCTGTGGGGAAGCCCAGGAGGCAGATAAGGAGGAATAACCACAACAGGAAGCAAGAACAAAGTTAGTTAAAATAAAGGGGGTAGGCTATGTGGTGGTATGTGCCTGTGCACACTTGTAATTCTACAACCTGGAAGGCTGAGGCCGGAGGATGACAAGGTAGAGACCAGTGTGGGTTATATAATGAGACCATACCTCAAAACAAACAAAACAGAGGTACACATATGTGGATGGGGCCTGTCGGGAGATATGGTAGACAAGTATTATGGAAGGGATTTGGTTCCCTCCAACAGAGCCTGTGCCCGGGTGCCACTCTGACACCTGCGGAACCCACACTAGCATGAGCAAGAACACTATTTAGCTTCTCTTTAGTAATCACAGTAGATAATCTTATAAGCCCCAGCCTAGTCCCTGGGTGCACTGTAGGAGGTGCCAGGACTCCAGAGTGAATAGTTCAATGCAGAGAGCAGGAGGCCTGGAACTAGACGTGTAGAGGCTGAGATGGTCCGAACCAGAGCTGAAAGGGAACGAGAGGAGTCTGGGAATGAGGCAGGTAGAATACACTTGGTAAGGGTTGAGATGGAGGGGGGAAGGAAATAGTCAAAGTTTAAAAAAAAAACTCGCTCAGAAGACAAGGGTTGTTTTCCTTCAGGACCAGAAGATCCTTGAATTGGGGGCAGGGTCTGTCTTCCTGACTGGGGCTTGGTGGAGCAGGTGGGGATGGGAGCTTCACGAGGCTCACAGCCCTCCCTCCAGCTGGATGGCTCTGGTTCCCTCATAGCTCAGCAGCGTCTTTGCCAGCCAGCCTGCTTTTTACCCCTCGTAAGTGATTTCCCTTTTCCGCCTAAAGACGTTTGTAAATTCTTGAACTTTAACAGCGTAACTCAAATATGCCACAGTGTAGAAAGTTCTGCATCTAATTTTCCTGGAACAATGGATGTCTTTGATGGGAGATTCTGTTCTTTCTTCTAGAGAATTTTTTGTATTACTGTATCTTCAGGCTCATGTTCAGGGGAATTGTTTCCTTGAGAAACCTCAGTTACTAACATATCCCACACTGATTGGGTTTTTAACTGTTTTGACTTTTGTTTCACTCGGCCATGCCCACCTTGATTGTGTCCAGCTTTATCTTTTTCTTTGTTGTTTTATTTATACGTGTGCATGACCAAACGTTTGTATGTGCTCTGGGTGCATGCAGTTCTCACAGATGCCAGAAGAGGGCGTTGGATCCCCTGACACGAGTTACTGGTGGAGTTCAGTCATAGTGAGGTTGCTGAGAACTGAATCCCAGTCCTCCGTAAGAATAGCAGCTTACCTACTGAATCATCTCTCCAGATCCCTGTGTCCAGTTGTTTTTTTATATACAAGTCAACTTTCACCTTGCTTACTCTGTTCCTTGTTTCAAATTGACTAGCTCCTTTTTTAATTATTATTTTAAATAATGAAGTTTGGGGCCCCAATTTTACTACCTTAACCTACAATGTAATTTTGTAATTAATTTTTTTCTTTGAAATGTCACTTAAGTTGTTTTGTAGCAGAAGATAACTGTGATCAGTTCCCTTCTATTCCTCATTCATTAATTGTAATTTTTTTTTGTTTTTGAGGCAGGGTCTCCTGTAGCTCAGGCTGACCTCCAACTCACTATGTAGCCAAGAGTAACTCTGAACTCCTGATCCTCCTGCCTCTACTTCCAAAGTGCTGGGATTACAGGTTTTCGCTACCATACCCAGCATTAATTGTATATTTTTTGAGGCTTGGAACTCTGCTTCCTTGCAATCCTCTTCTCCCTTTGTTGACCTGTGGTTTCTTTTTTGGGGAGACCCTTGGGAAGCTCTGGTCCAACACATCATCTCTAGGCTCGGTTGGTTGTCTTCTCCAAGCTGTAGTGTATGAGTTAAGTCCAAAGAAGTCGCTTCTGTCCCATTCTGTACTCTGGTGGGGTGGGTGGGAGAGACGGCATGCGCTGAGGTGGTGGCCAGTCTTGGGGAGGCCACCTTGATCCTCCGCCACATCATATTAAGTGTGGAGTTCAGCCCCTCTGCCCATGGGGTACCACTGGGCCCCACACACCTATGGCTCCCTCCTCCATGAATAGTCCGAAGCTTTTGGTTTACCTTCTCTTTTGCCTGTTCCCTTTGGACAACAGAATATGAAAGAAAACAGGAATATTTACATGGTTGGTCCTCACAAATTCAGGTGGGATTTTTTTTGGAGGAGGTGGGGAATCAAATCTCAGAGTTTGTTTTCTCACCAGTTCATTCTCTGATACAAGGACTTTTGAAGATCCCCAAACTTTTTTGCTTGGTCACAAGGTCTACAGTGTGTCGACACAAGGCTGGGTGCCTTGCCTGACTTTTGTTCCTTGTGAGAGACTTCAGGTGGAGTGGAGTTTGGTCTGGTTATTTTTGCTCAATTATAAGCAGGCAGAAGACAATTTTGTTTTACTCTCAGTGAACTGTTTTCCTTGGGAATCTCTCCCAAGCTTCCCTCTGTACAGTCAGGTAGCCCACGCACCTTCCCGACACCCATCTGTGCCTGGAATTCCTTCCCTCAACTCAAGCACAGCCTGTCAAGGCCATGCCGAGGATTGCCACCTCTCCTCTAAGAGGCCTTGCTTGCTGCCTCAGCCTCACTAACCTTCCAGTTCTCTCAGCATGACCACAGCTCTCTCCAGTTGTAACAAAACTTAGCCTTTAATTATATGTTGTCTGCAGTGGTTGGCTGTTGGCTCCTCTAAGAACGTCTGGCCACTGAGTCAGGCTGGCTGAGTCCTACAGAGCAGGGCCAGAGAAGAAGCCTCAGATGTGAGCCCCTATGACATCAGGTCTCTCTCCCAGTGCTTAGTCAGAGCTTGCTGGAGCCTTGGCTGGGCTTTCCTCTTCCCAGTGCTTTCACTAGGAAGGCAAGAAGGTATACTGCCTGAGGTCAATCCTGCCTTGGCAATTGTGGCTTCAGGAATGGGTCTTGGCCGATTTGCTTGTCCTTGGAGAAAAGAGGTTGGACCACTGGGGTTGTTCTGTTGGGGCTTCACCTCCATTTTGCTGCTGTGTACACTGTCTCCCCTGGCCCCGAAGTTGTATCACACATTCTGACGTGTCTCTCCTTCCCACACAGGCATCTGCATAACAACCGCATCCAGCATGTGGGGACCCACAGCTTCGAGGGGCTACACAATCTGGAGACACTGTGAGTGGAAGAGCCTGTTTAAGTCCTAGTCTGCTTGGTGATGACACCTGTGACTAGAGTCTGGTTGTGGGCTTAGGAAGGGGCAGCAGGATATGATCTGGCCCTTGTCACCCATGTGCCCATTCTGGGACTCTTCTCTGAGATGTCACTCAGCAAGAACTCTTTCTCCCTTCAGGCGGGTACAAGGTCCTCTGTGGTGGTTCAGGGTAGCCCAGGAAGTAAAAGTGCAGGGCCCCTGCCGGCAGAGACATCAAATAATGCATAGAATGAAACAGCTAACACGGCAGAAGAACTGGGACATGGAGCTTGGAGACTGGAAGATTTGAGGGTGGGCTGGGGCTGACCTGATGGCAGTTTTGATGTCTGCTTAAGGGTGGCTGCTGACAGAAGGGAGAGGAATACCACAGAATAGTGTCAGGACTGTTTGCCAGCTGATCTAACTAGCTAAATGATTAATGGGGAAATGGCCCACTCAGCACCACAGCCTGCCTATAAAAAGCACCCAAGCTGTTGACTCTTAAAAAGCCATATTATTCACACATCATCATCCAGGAATTCAGTTAAGGTCAGAATGCACCCAAGCCCTCCCATCACTTCCTCTGGAGGCCTGCCAGCCCCTGCTGAGTGGGCCGAGTGGGCCCCACTGCGCAAACAATCAGCCAGGCTCTGCAAGAATGACTGGTCATGCCAGCTGAGGTCTTTAGCTCCCCTGAGGAAACTGGTTGCCACAGCCACCTGGTGCTGGACATGGGGTTGGGGGCTCTGGGAGGGAAAGGTCCCAGGTCACCACAAGTGTAAGCCGACGAGGTTGGGGAAAGGCTCATGAGATCGGGAGTTGATCACAGCTCCTCCTGAATCTCCTTCTCCACTTATAAACAAGCCCCCATTTTCTAGCCCCTACTCCCACCACTGCTCTTGAGGTGATGGCGTCTTAGGAATCTAAAGCAACAGAGGCTAAAATTCTGGAAGACAGGCTGTGATGGCGGAAGCAACATGCTGAGGAAAACCACTTTTATAAAGTCTACCCTAAGAGGCGCGGCTACAGAATCTGTGGTTATATGGAGAAACAGATGAGAGACTCATACCTGGGTCAGTCACATCTTACTTCCTGTGGGTATGATTCCTAGGAACACGGCTGCTCTCTTGTGCTTAGTGCATAGCTGGAGAGATGGCAGAGCCGGGCTTAGCTCTCCTGGAATCCAGACCCTTTGACCAACTGTATACGTAGGAGCACAGTGTCAGGGCAGCATGCCCCAGCCTGGATTCAGGAACATTCCCATCTGTTCCCACTACTGTGCAAGGCTTAGACTATCTGCTCCTCCTCCATAGCTGTGACTGATGACTAGACAGTTAGAACAGGCCAGTCTTGTCTTCTAAATCTTCATAAGAGAAAGTTTATTTCTAGGAAGGCTGCGTAGTTCCTTCCCAGAGTGATGGTTCTCCCAGAGTGACCTCCTAACTGTGCCCAGAGCAGATCAGAGTGTTAATGAAATAGGAGTCCTTAGGAGAGTGCCTGGTTAGTCTATCACCTGGCCCAATTCGAATTGAGTGCTGTGTGCTGATTTCTGGAGCCTCCCTAGAGAAGCCCAGCTCCTGGGTGGTGCTAGGATTGCATTTAACAGCAGGGCAAGAGGGAGCACAGCCATTCCACCCTGGAATGTGGGGCTGTTTAGCTTTGCTGGGAAGTCAGGTGAGGATTGGGGCACAGATACCGAGTGTGGGTTGGCACCTCAAAAAAGCCAACAAGTAGCTGTTTCTTCACTTTTGGGGCACACTGCCTAACTCTTTCTCAATTAGCCACTGTCTTGCTGTGCGGGGCATTTGGCTCAGCTGCTGCTGGCTGAATTATAGAGCAGTCCTGCCGCTGCTAAGCACCCTCCGTCTCTTTCATCTATCTTGGCCCCAACACACAAGGCCCCCAGGCTATGCCCACCTTGCAGATGGAAAAGCCAAGACTAAGAAACATGGAAAAGTCCTCCAACCTTTATAGTGTGAGGGCAGAAAAGCCCAGTGGTTATTCCCTTGGCACCAAGCAGCCTGGAGCCCTTAAGACTGCTGGTTCTCCCAGCTGTCTGAGCTCAGCCATTTGCCTACCAGAGAGTCTTAATTTTCTAACCTATAACATGATGTCACAGGGTTGTATAAAGTTGTTACAGAGTCTGGCAGATATATAGGACCCTCCCCTCCTCTCCTGTTTTTCTTCCTCAGTTCTTTGTATGAGGCTTCATCTCCATGATGCCCCATTTCCTCCCCACCCTCGAAGAGCAAGCCCTTCTTCCAACTTTTGATCTCCAATTAAAAGGGGAGGGGGAGAGCGTGTTCTTTCTCTTCTGTTCCCCAGAGCGTTTTCTTGGGGAGCCTGCAGGGGAAGGCAGATGTGGAGGAGGAGGAGTGGCTGGGAGAATGAAAGGGGAAAGAAATGATAGGCAAGTCTTTTAATTGTTGCATAATTGGCGTACTCAGCAGCCTTGGTTATTACTCGGGAGCTTTCATGTGTACTTCTTGCTGGAAGGGTACTTCTCCCTGGGGCCCTGTAAATCTCTGCCACTTAGACCTCTCTCATCTCTGGCAGCAGAGGGAAGATCAAACCCCCACAGCCTAGGCTGTGGTTTGGCTCCTCTGCAGCCTTCTCTTCAGAGGGAGAGCAGCCCCCAGCTTTGCCACCTGGGAGGAGGGGCCAGGTGCGGGCACGTACATGCGTGGCCACACAGGCTCCCAAACTAGGCACATGCAGCACACACAACGTAGCTCACACCCTCTGCCACCCTCTTTCCACATTGACCACCCTTCTCACACCGTCACAGAATTTACCTGTGTAACCCAGCTTCTCTCAGGGCCTCAGCGACGAGGACCAGACTGCCAGGTCTGCTGCTGTAGGCTGGACTAGCAAAAGTACATGTTCTCACTTCTGGGAGCAAAGGGGCTACCCTAGATGGATGTGGTGGCACATGCTTGTAATCTCAGCACTCAGAATGTAGAGGCAGAGAGCTCAGGAGTTCAAGGCTAGCCTGTGCTACATGTGACTCTGTCTCAAACATAACAGAAAGGGGACATACAAGTCATGTACCACACAACCTTTATTCTAAAGGAGCTTTGGGCAGAGTCTAGGGTGGGGCTCTGTTATGGCCTCTGCTGATGGACAGAATTACACGGCTCTTTTTTTTTTTTAAAGAATTATTTATTTATTTTATGTATATATGAGTACACTGCAGCTGTCTTCAGACACACCAGAAGAGGGCATCAGATCTCATTATAGATGGTTGTGAGCCACCATGTGGTTGCTGGGAATTGAACTCAGGACCTCTGGAAGAGCAGTCAGTGCTCTTAACCGCTGAGCCATCTCACCAGCCCTACACGGCTCTTAAGAACAAACCTTGCTGCACTCTGGGGAGTCTGGCATTTCCAGAGGGGATGTTTCTCACAGTGTGGTTGTCGCCATTCCAACCACTGCCAAGAAGCCTCAGCTTTAGGCAGACCAGACTTGCTCAGTCCTGCATCCACAGCCTTTGATCTCTCACAGTGAGGATGACCACCACTTTAGGGAAACTCCAAAGCAGAGATGGTCTAACCATCCACCTCTAAAGTAGCATGTTCTCTTTCCATATTAGACCTCAAGTCCATTCCAGGACTCCCTAGGTATATAGGTTAGGATATAAAAGAAATCCAGATTGAAAAAAAAAAGGTCCAGGAAAATTCTCCATGAAACCAGGTGCCAACATACCTTGGTCAATCACTGGAATTTCAAGTTTGGAAAACACAGACAGCTATGCCAGGCTGAAAACCCACAATAGTCAAAGCCCCAACTGTATACTTAACCAAAATAGGGATGGTTTGGGAACCCTGATTCCATCCTGAAGGGCCCATGTCTGAGAACTCAATGCCTACATCTTAGGAGAACCCAGAGTGAGGGTGGGTTCAGGAACCTCTGAAAAACACCTCCCTTCCTCAAGCCCAGGCAATGATCTCTGAACCTTGTTATGACCTTGTTAAATCCAGCCCAAGTGGAGCCGGAGCCGGCTGGACATTCCCCTCTGGAAGAGGGACTGGGCCTGAGTGAGAACAGAAGCCTTCTGGCTCAGCTCCCTCTCTAATCAGGACCAGCCTTCATCACGGGACTATGAAGTGCAACGGACAGGGTGAGACTTTATAGAATTCCACCTTTGTCCAAAATTGTGCATTCCTCATCAACTGACATCCCTGTGATGTTTCCAAAGGACACTCTTACTTCAACAGTAGCTGTGGCCAGAAAATGTACTCCTGTCTCTTTGTCATTAAACCCACAAATGGTCAACAGGTTTCATGCTCAACTTGCTTGGAATTGGCCCTGAAAATGTCTGGCCACTCCCCAGTGCTGGGCTGACTGTCAACCTTTCATCTGGAACAGAACATCAGGTGGATTTCCACCAGGATTCTTCCAGGGCTCAGGGCATTCCAGAGAAGATCAAGGATTAGACTTGAATCAGCAGACTTGGATTCAAATCCTGACACTGCCACCAGCATGTGGCATGTTCAAGTCACTTGACCTCTCCAAAGAGTCAGCTGTCACACATAGGAAAGGAGGCCAATATTTTACAATTCACAGGACATTGCAAAGGTCGCATTGACCGCGATGACTCTGTGTAGTACTTTGGAGCACCATAAGTACTTAGCTTACTTGGTGTTGGCTGGAATGTGTCTGAAGGTGGCAGGGAGGGTGCTCCCTGCTGTGACTCATCACCCCACGGTGAATCAGAACTCTCAGGCACTCAGGACATGACTACTGTATTTGTTTCCTGTGGCTGCCGTGACAGACTACCACAAACTTGGTGGCTTAACAAAACAGCCAGTTATTCTTCCACAGTTCTAGAGGTCAGAAGTTCAAAATCAAGGGGTTGGCAGGACTGGTTACTTCTATAGGGTTTGAGGCTGTCTATATTCCCTGCACCGCCCCGTACATCTGATGGCTGCTGGCATTCCTTGGCATTCCTTGGCTTAGAGAGATGTATCCTCCAGTCATTGCC